GCCTTTCCTGGATCTCGCTCTGTAGCCCAGGCTGGCCTCGAACTCACAGAGATCCGCCTGGCTCTGCCTCCCGAGTGCTGGGATTAAAGGCATGCGTAAAGAGTCACTGAATCTATAGCTAAGTGTATGTGTGTGTGTCTGGGACTGGGTGTGTGCATTTGCATCAGGGTGGCCGTGGAGGCCGGAAGAAGGTGTCCGATCCCCTGGGAGCTGGTGTTACAGGCAGTTGTGAATTTGTGAATTGCTCACTGTGGGTGCCGGGAATTGCACGTGGGTCCTCTGCAAGAGCAGCCCATGGTCTTCAGCACTGACTGAGCCACTTCTCCAGTTACTCATTAGTTACATAAAATATTTCGTGTCTGTCTGTATGTGTGTGTGGGGGGTGGGGTGGGGTGGGGGTACATGTGTGCCATGAGCATGTGTGGAGGTCAGAGGACAACTTACAGAAATTGGTTCTCTCCTTCCACCGTGTGGATCTTGGGGGGCAAAATCGGGACATCAGAGTCAGCAGTAGTCAACCTTTGTCACTGGGCCACCTTGACAGCCCTTCTTTCTGTATTTCAGGGTTAGACATTTGGGTGAAGATTTGATTGCCACATTAGCTGCATTCATCCATACTCTAGGTCCACAGCGAGGCAAGGGCGCCTTGTTGGTTGTTCTAAACACATTGTACTTGAACAGTATCTGGATTCGGTGAACGTTTACAGGGGCCTCTGGACCGGCTGTCACCTGACCACGTACTCTCTAGTCGAGTCAAGATGATGGGGGATTCCTGACACTGTGGGTGTGAGGTCATTCTTTCATCAAAACCATACTAGGAAGACACTGAGGCTTTGATCAGCCTCCTTTTCGAACAGTAAATTAACTTCTGAGTTTTATTTGTTCTATTTTTAAAACACTTGAATTTATTCATAGAATTTATTAGATCCCAAACTTAGATATTTGACTATTAAAAATTGCAATAGCAGTCTCTCTGCTTTGAGAAAAAGCCAATGAAATTTTACTTGTTAGGGAAATATGTTCTCTGGGGAGTCTACACTGTGTGCTATTCCCTCAGCCCGAGGTTGTATAATCTGGGGAACAATGGGAGAGCTTTGTTTAGCAATCATATAAGCCAACTTTGCCATCAGCTTCATTAAATTTTTTTTTTTCTGATACAGGCAGGTTCTTATTTTGTCACCTAGGAAGGCCCTTGGTTAATCTCAGTGCCCAGACCACTGGGGAGACAGTCTTCTGGGCATGCCCTGGGAGATAGCTTCATTAGGTTAATTAAGGTGGGAAGACCTACCCGCTGTGATTCCCGGGTGAAGATGCTAGACTGAATCAGGAGGAGGAAGAGGGCTGAGGACCAACATTTATCTCTGCTTCTCTACTGTGGACTTACGGGGACCAGCCACCTCTCTCACTCCTGCCTCCTTGACTCACCTGCTAGGACAGGCTGTACTTGTGACCTGGGAGCCACAAGAAACATTCTCTCTCTTAAACTGCTTTGGCCAGGGTCTTTTATCATGGTAACAGGAAATGAAACCAAGACAGGCTTAAAACTTGAGATCCACCCGCCTCAGCCTCCCTAGTGCCAGGATGACAGACATACTTGACTGTAAAGCTTCATCTTGACATCTGCTGAGAAGCAGAAGCAGTACAACCTAAGGACAACTAATTTGAGATGGTGCATCTATCTCTTCCTAACTATTGAAGAATCAAGGTATTGATAAAATGTACTGGCTTGGTAAATTCTTTTTGTGCAAGAAAATTTAGACCAGCCTCTTTAAACATTCTCTTCTCAGTCATACTTGTTTTCTGAGCTAGTCACACTTTTCTGTGCTGTCACAGACACCTGGCATAAACAGCTTAAAGAGGAAGGACATAGTTTGCCTCACAGTTTGAGAGAACTCAGCCCATGGTCCTTGGCTCCATTGAATCTGAGCTCATCATGAGGCAGAACATTTGTTGTAGCAGGAACAGGAGTGTATACCTGAGGTTACTCGCTTCATGGTAGACCCAAAGTAAAGAGTGTATCTATGCTTTCCATGCTTGTTGAGACAGGATCCTACTTATTATGTAGTCTTGGATGTCCTTGGACTTACTAGGAGGTCTGGATTAGCCTTGACCTCAACTCATAGAGATCCATCTGTCTCTGCCTCTCAAGTGCTGGGTTATTCTTTTTTCCTCTTTTATTCCATCTGGGTACCCAGCTTTATGGCACGGTGCTGCTCACATTCAGGACATCCTTCCCTGTTTTATTGATCTTTTCTAGAAATACCCTGAGACATACTCAGAGGTGTTCATTGCTTATCTTTTATCTGATCAAGTAGACATTCAAGATCAACCATCACAAGTCAACTCTTGGTCAACCTGACCCAAACACATCTTAAACCAAACTTCCCACCTTTGGTTCCCAAGATACCCTTATTAATATCAGAATAAAACATTCATTGAGTCTATCTTTAGAGTCTACATAGTCTCAACACTGTTCAAAAGCTCTAGTTCAAAGTCTCCTCTGAGACTCATGGCAGGTTTTTAACTGTGAACCCTATAAAGTGAAAAATCAAGTTATGTGCTACCTGCATGCAACAGCACAGGGTAAGCATCCTGTTACAAAAGGAGGAAATGAGGTCGTAGAAAAGAGGCATGGGCCAAAGGGAGACCTCATTCCAGCAAGGCAAATTTTGAACACTGTAGATCCATGCCTGGATCCAGAACATGTGGTTTTATGAGATGAACTTCAAAGGGCTTGGGCAACCCCATCCCAGTGCCTTTGCTGATTTGGCTCCATACACTTATTCTCTCAGGATGGCTTTGGTCATTGTGTGAAGCGTTCCTTGTTGGACATTGAATTTTTATGGTATCTCTAACTTTTGTGGGTCTCCATGGAAATTTAGACTTCATCCTCATAGACTCAAGGAGCTTCCTGTGGGACTCTGACCATGCCACAGTTGTCCATTCTCCCAGGCCTACTTCTGAAATGTGAAAAGAATTTTCAGTGACCTTCTGCATGCCTAAACAAACAGAGTCTTTTGTATGACACCACACTGTATCACCAGTTCAACCAGTGTTCAGCCCTCCATGAACCACAACTGTAATACTCTCCTTAGATGGTCCTGTGCACCAATAAATACTCGCTTCTGAGGGCAAGCCTTTTAAATGTGTTTGTATTTTTGTGTTCCTGAGGCTTTGATGGGTATGGTCTAGCCTATTTCTAAGATGGCCTTAAGGAACTTTCATGTTTCTCTAGTGCAAAGTATTTGATATGCTTTTCTTAGACAGTTTATCTGACAACCATGGTCTCCCCATGCATAGCTTTCAGCTTTTGCTGTTTCTGGACAGTGCACACATTTTTCAAATCTTCTGCTACACCTTTGGCTCTATAAATATGGTTAAAAGCTACTAGCAAAAGCATGTCACATCCTGAGCTCACCCAACATGTCAGTGCGGGCCTGCCTTGATATCTTCAACATCGAATTAGTTAATCCATCACCTTTAAGTCAGTCTCCCACAAAGTTCAAGTCAGGGAAAAAAACATAGATTGATTGATTGATTGATTGACTGATTTCTTAACCATGCTATAACAATGACCTCCAGTCCAATTAGAGTCCTTGTGTCATTGTATCTGAAGCCTGGCAAACACAGCCTCTGCTATCCACATCTTTCTTCCTTTCTTTTTCTTCCCTTCCTTCCTTCCTTCCTTCTCCCTCCCTCCCTCCCTCCCTTCTTTCCTCCCTCTCTCTCTCTCCTTTTCTTTCCTTTTCTTCCTTCCCTTCCCTTCTCTTCTCCCTTCCTGTCTCTTTCTCTTTTTGCTTTGTTTTCAATTTCTTAAGACAGAGTCTCTCTATGCAGCCCTTGCTGGCCTTAAACTCACTGTGTAGACCAGGCTGATCTCAAATGTGTGATGTTTCCTCTTGCTTACCCAAGTTCCGGGATTACAGGCATTCGTCACTGTGCCTGGACCTGCTTGTTCACATCACATCTGAATTCTTGTCTTCTAAGCCCGTTCTGAATCACCCACTAAGCTGAGATCACAATAGTCAAGGGGTTCCTGGGATGGTTTAAGAACTGCATGGATGTTTTAGTGACAGCAGTGTTCTATTTCTCTCCTATTTTCTCTATTATCCAGATTTTTCACTGTGATAAGGCACACGACACAAACCATTTAAGGGGGAGGGGTCTATTTTGGCTTATGGTTTCAGACCTTTGGCTCCTTTGATTGACGTAGAGTGCCTTGGCACTGAGAGAATGTGGTGGAGGCTAATTACCACGTCGTGTCCAGGAAGCAGAGAGTCTATGGTCTAGCAGGCTGTCTTTTGCCCCTGCTTGTATTAGTTATTTTGTTGTTGTTGTTGCTGTGAGAAAATACTTGAAATAACTAACACGAGGCACTAAAAATTCACATTGGCTCACAGTTGGAATCCACCATCACGTGGAAAGTGTGGTAGAACCACTCCACCCACAATGGTAGGACTGTGTAGCAGGGGGCATCATATGATGGCTGACATTAGTTGTTACCTCGATACAATCTAGAATCACCTGGGAAAGAGTCTCAAGGAGGGGTTATCTTCATTGGGTTGATCTGTGGAAGATTATCTTAATTGAGTTAATTAATGTGGAGATCCCTAGCCCAGTCTAGGCAGCACTATTCCCTAGTCAGGGAGGGCCTAAGCCGCATGCCAGTGGA